ACTAAATAAGACTAAATGATAATAATAAAATAAATAATAAAATACAATATTGGAATAATAAACTAATAAAATAATAACCTGTTCTATAACAGTACCAATATATTAGAAAACTTTACAGAAGCCATAAAGTCTTATAATATAAATCCAAAATTTGTATTTACTGATAAAGACTTTGCAGAAATTAATGCTATATCCAAAGTGTGAGTACTTTGGTAGTGCAATTATGTTCTTGGTATCTAAAACGTGCGGTAAAATATAAGCTTGAAGAGAAAGCAAAGTCTTCAAGAAATGGTAAATTAATAACTGTAAATTACAATTCAAATCAAGTTGCTAGTGAGTTTAATTTCATTAACCCTAACTTTTACCTATCGGAAGTAGACTGTAATTTGCAAACATATGTTATCTGTCTACCTGAGTATAGAGAAAAAATTTTAGAGCTAATGCAAAATCATTTTGATATGCATCTATTAATACTAGTAAATGTACAGATAAGAATGGATATAATTTTGGGTTCTATTCTGAAATCTCAAAAATCAAAATCCTAAAACTTAATTATTGTGCCGTGTGATAATATTTAATCGATTAGTAATTGTTATTACAATTATTGTTATAATCATAAGATATTATCACTTGATATGACAATTAAATTTCAGGATTTTGATTTTCAGATTTCAGGGTAGAACCGTAATTTTGAAATCAGTTTAACTATTATTATGATATATATATATATACAGTCAATTCTTTTTATACCGAATCCTAAATTCTGACCAAAAAAAAGTTCATTATATAGAATTACTGTTTTCTAAAGTGCTGTAGCTCTTGATATACCGAACTAATATTAAAATTTAGAAATTTTGAGTTCGTTATGTCCAGAGTTCATTATAAAAAAGTTCGTTATATCCAAAGTTAACTGTATATATATAGATACTCTTTTTTTTTTTTTTTACAGAATTGTATATTAGTGAAATTAATTTCGCTAATTTTACTAATAGTAGCGAAATTGGTTTTTTATTTTAGCAACGTTTTTAGCTAAGTATTAGTAATAATTAGTTTAGCATTATCATAAACTAATATAAAAAACTATAATTAAATCAAACTTCTGTACCAGAGAAATATAATAACACCAGAAGCTATTAGACAAAATACAGTAAAAAAAATATATCAATTCTGTTTTCAGCATGAGTTGCAGTTGCTTTGGATCTACTTGTAGACAAATTGGTACTCATCACAATGATAGTACCTTTGGGTATGATTGACTAAGCCAACTATCTCTTATGAAAAGACTACAATGAAGATAGAGGCATATTGGAGCGTAATTAAGTGATATTATTTGTATTATTTTAACCAACCAGGTTAGATCTTTTGCTATGGACACTTCTTACCGAAGTAGTACCAGCACAGAAAGACAGATAAAATATTAAATAAAATAAAAATAAAAAAAATTAATAAAAAATAATATAAGTAAAATTAAAATAAAAAAAATTAGGCTTTTACAAATTTTAACAGGTATAGTGGAACCATGTTGGTGGGAGGATTTTAAAAAAGAATAGATTTATATTAGTGCAAGTAATGAAAAATAAGCAGAGATACGTGCTAGTAAACCTGGTAAAAGAAAACAAAGTGTTAACATAAGTATAACAAACTCAGATAGCCTGTATTATACTAAGATTACCCAATGGGTCTGTAGCTATCCCGCATTTTTTACAAATCATTTCCTGATATATAAATATTTAGTAAGACAAATTGTAAATACACCTGACAGAAAAAGACGACATTTGCTCAGAGATAGGTTTGAATATCACACAACGTCTTTATTTCTTATTTTAAATAACCCTGAAAGTAACAATACATTACCGGGTATTCAAGATATTACTTAAGCCACTAAAGCCCATAATATTAAAGCTACTGCTAATAGTTTACTGGATAGTTATGAAATTAATATAGAAGAAGATCCAAATGGAGAGGCTTATGCTTATGTCGAATCAAATTGAGAATTGTTTGCAAAGCATTTAAGCAGATCTGTTATGAGAGATCTGCCAATAATTGGTTACACATCAAGGCTATGATGGATTGGAGTTGCCTTGTGCAAATGGAAAAGGATATTCAAGCTATAGAACGTCGAAGACACAGACAAGCAACTTGAAAATCAGAAAATAGTAGAAAGCCATACCTTATGTATTTATCATCCTTTAAAGAGCAAAGAATTACAGAGAATCTGACAATTAATAAAGATATTTTTATTATAAATAATAATGAAGAGTAAGTAAAAAGATGATAAGGTTGGGCATTAAAGTAAAAGTGACAAGGAGTTTTTCATGTGTTTAAAGTTTGAAATCATTATATAATTGACTCTCACTAATAATTTCTGCCATGGAAGTATAAGTGTTTCTTTACACTACAGAACTAATTATAAAAATCTTTATAGATTCGAAAAATAAATTATTAATTATTAATAAATCTTGAAATCAACGAGTAAAATAAATTTGTATTTTTTGGTCTTACAAATACGTTAATAAATAATTCAATCGTAAGAGCCGGCCATAAATCAAATCTTTAGTTCTAATAAAAACTTCTAACGAAAACTTGAACGATTATCAGAATCGATAATATGGTATCTAGTATTACCTACATACGTATCTGATTGGTAAAGATCATTTTGCTATGATTGCAGCTGCAGTATGATCTATATCACTGACCTTTTGGAGGGGCCACCCTGGCTAACTCTAAATGTATGAGCAAATACAAAGAATCACTTGTATATTTATTATGGTTTGCATATTGATGTAACTTTGATCAATTTTATAGATCACTACATACCCTGATTGTTCGATTGCAATCGAATGTACGTGATTATGCGTAATTGTTCGCAATTATGCACGATTGTATGATTTATTTGGGAAAAACTATATAAAAAATATAATTTTTGTTGTTTTGATAAATTATTATAGATTACTTTATAGGTACTTGTTACCAGTACGTGAAGTGTCTGTATTGCAAAAAAGATTCTTTAAAATTTTCATGTGAATATGATAAAAACATATTACCTATAACACAAAATTATACAAAATTAGTTTCATATGCTTTTACAATTTATTATAATACAAAATTTAATGATAAACAAATTGAGATTCTAAAAGATTCAAAGAAAAAATATAATTATAATACAGAGTTTACAGAAGATTTCAAATTTTCATTTTGCTCTGCATGTAATAGTAAATGGTATTGTGTTGGTAAAACTAAATCAACAAAAGCAAAGTTAACTAAATTAACAAAATCAAAATCAACTAAATCTATAAGTTCTACTGCTACTGCTACTGAATATACAACTTTTGAAACTAATTGTATTATCAACATATCTGAGACTGACCAACTTATTGATAGTCATACAACTAAAAAATATAATACTAATATATCTAAAACCAATGAGCTTAATAATTGCATAACTTCTAATACAAATAAGCGTATTATTAATTTATTTAAAATTAATAAGCTTGACGATTATACTGTTTGTGATATCAATATATTAGAATATGATGAATTAGAAGACCTTTTAAATAATGAGATCGAAGAATTAGATTTAGAGAATGAAATGTTTAGAAGACAGTTAGACAAGTTGGATAATAAAAATAATAAGTATAATAGCAAAGAATTTTTACTTAAACTATATATTAAGAATCAAGATAATACTACACTGCTTGCCAAATGATTAAATATTTTAGCAGATTCTTGTAGCGAATTCTATTATCAAATTCTTTTGCATATTTAATATCAACTAAATAATATTACTATTACTTAAAATGATTATGTATTATTATATAAAATAACAAAAAAAACTAGAGCAGGAGTTCAAATTGTCAATAAGAGTGATTTTGGAAGTTTTGTCAAAGATTATAATTAGTCTGCAGGTAGAAAAAAAGATATTTTTATTAATATTCAAATGTAAAATTTCTCAAAAAACAATGCAAAAAAATGTTTATATAGATCAGTATAGTATATTATTTTTTATATAAAATATACTTGATCTGTGATAATATCAATCTATTTGGATCACTTTTATCTTTATATTGATAATTATATTAATAAAGATTATATTAAAGTTAATATATACAGGAAAATTTTTATACAATTTTAATAAATAGAAATTTATTTTATTGTTTAGATTGATATTAACGAATTAATATCAACGTGGGTCAAGTGTATTCATATTTAATACACTAATGTTCAAATAGAAATTGCTAATACTTTATTAATTTATTATTTATTTTATTATTTTAGAGATCTAAAGAATCTAATAGCGATGATGATTTAATTGGCAAATCACGAGTCATTTGAACAAATATTTTTTTTTATATATAAATTTTACTATAAGCCCGAATATGGAGCATGCCTATCTAAACCTTTTTTTTTACTAAGTAAATCACTCTTGGGCTTGTAACAAAAATTGTAAAGCTTATTAAGAAGCATCTAATAGTAGTAAGAATATTAAAATTAGCTTGGTAGTTCTTGAGAAATCTTTAAAAAACTTCTTTTTTACATATA